GGGGCTTGGATGAGATGATCTCCAGAGGTCTCTTCCAATCTAGAGGTGGTTGTCATTTTCATGTAGACATCAGCCTGAGAAAAAGTGTAGTGGAACCTGAAAGACTAGAGGTAGATGTTCTTATCCACCTTAGCTGTCACAATCAGGGGAGAAAAATAAATACCATTAGGGTGGGATGTGATTCATTTTAAAACAGTGATAAAACTTTAGATATTTGGTGCTTTCTTTTAACATGGGGGGGGGAGATCAGTAGATGCCCCAGTGAAATAAAATGGTGGTTACTGATTGGTCAGCACAGATTTTTTTCCAACATTAAATTTTTTTTTGTTTGCTCTGAGACGCTATTTATCTCTTCTGAGCAGTAGCCTGAAAGGAAATCCTTCTGGTAAAGAAATTCCCCACTTCCCTCAGGCCACCACAGCAAGATTCTTGAGTATCCATGCCAGGATACCATCTTAGAAAAAAACAGTATTACATCCCAGTCTAAATTAGTAATAATAAAAAAAAAAAATTAAAAAGGCATTATTGTGAATACTTAAAAATCTGGTGATCACCTGAACGGTTGTGTTGGAGAAGGGAATGCCCTGCCCTATTGTTTCTTCATGAACTCATCTTTTACAATCTAGGCTTCTTGCACATTGGTGGAGAGCATCAATATTTCTGGGGGATGGGTCATTTCGCCCCAGGAAAGCCACCTGATACAGGTCATACTTCCTCTGTTGAACACACCTGCCTTTTCCACTGACTAGAGAGAAAGCAAACCATCTCAATGAGGTTGTCTAAATGTAGATACCTAGAGCAACTTGAGATGTTCTAGGGTGTCTAATACGTGCCTGAGGGTGCACACAGGGTATAAAATGAGACCTGTGCCCCAGCAGACTACCACCTGAAATCTGAGCAGGAAACATCTAGCATATTCATATAGAGGCAGTTAGAAAATTGCCTTTATTTGTGAGCTGAATCCCAAAATACGGTGACGTCAAGAATACTTTAATCCACAATAAGTGGTCAGGAATAAAATGGAGGAAAATGAATGGCTTATGATAAAGGTCTTTGATGGGTTAGGAAAGACTTCCTTTGGATCACTCAGGTGATTCCACTCCTCTTTCATGTTCCCTCACTGTAATTAACCTATCGTAATGAGCTCATGAGAAGGGTTACTCACAGTTAAGGCACTTGATGTTCAGAGAGGAAAATCCACTAAGTAAAATTCCCAGGGAACAATCTCTGGCAGTTTGCACTTGGTGGGCTGAAATAGACTCCTGTTAAAGTTTTATTGCGTAATCCCTGAAAATTAAATTAAGTTTCTCAGCCTTACTGTAAAACCTGATCCAAATCCCACCGTAACCAATGAAGAGAAACTTGCTGAACTCTACAGTCTCTGGATCAGGAATCAGGAGGATTATGGAGGCTGTGAGTGAAGTTTTGGAGGAAAAAGCAGAAAAATTGTTGCCAGTATTTGCCTCGAAGTATTTTTGTTCGTATCAGTCATCTTCTGGCTCACAAACCACTGTGGTGTCTTAAAGACCAGATGCTACCATGTGAAAAAAATTTCAATTTGTTGTGTGTTAAACCTATACGCACAGACTCTTCCAGTGAAATATCAGATACCTCCTTAGGTTCCATTGAAGTTTTCATATTTCTGACAATAAAACTACAATTTTTCAAAACAGTAAAACTTCTGTTTACTTACATACTTCTTTATCTCATACCACGGGAACTCCCTGTCACATTGGGTTATGTCACATATGGGTTGGTTCAAAAAAGCTGGGTGTTTTTTTCCATTAAAATGTTTGTAGACGTTTCTCTAAGACCCACTGAGGATGCCAACATGTGCAAGATGGAAAAGAAATTACATTTTTTTTTTTTTTTTTTTTTTTTCTTTTTTCAGTTTGAGTGCTAGCCATTAGAGGATGTTTGGTGTCCATGAATGTTAGTCTATAGTACCCTACCACAAAGGGGCTGTGATCTCAGCAAGGACCTCTAGGTGTTACTGCAACACAGTTAATAATAAAATGTCATCGATACCTAAACAGAAGAAAGACAAATATAACATGACTAAAATAAGGAAACTGCTGCTTGTTGTGAAGATCATGCTATCGTCTGGCTCTTCTCAGAGAAGAAAGAACCTTCGTAAACCTTATTCACCTCAGAAGCTGAATATTGATACCAGTTTCTGATGGAGGTAAAAGGTAGGAGATACCTTTTATTTTGCTTCTGCTGGCTACCAGCCAACCAAAAACATTTGAGAGTTGGCGAGAGAATGACAGAATGAGGAAATAATGCAGGACACAGTTGAGATCACAAGTCCAAAAGCTAATCCACTTTCCGAAGAGGCGCAGAGATGCAAGGGAGAAACAGGAAAAGCTTGTAACGGACATGTTGAAGAAAAGGCTAACGGGCTGAGTTCTTTGCTTATCATGCTGACTCATTGCCTTCTTTCCCTGTGTCCTTTTGTTTTTCGTTCGGATTTACAACTTTTTGGAGTAGGAACAGCCCGTTTCATTTGTAGTTGTACTACGTCCAATCCAGGGTGATCCAGGCTCTGTACTGGGGTATCTTGGTTTAACAATAATAAATTTTGTATTATATTCATGCAAAAGAACCCATTCGCCCTTCCCTCCCTCCGACTTTGCACTGGAGGAATTAGAGAGCAGTTCTTCTGGGGAGTGTTTTTTTTAAAGCTATGCTAATCTGTTGGTCAGAAGGTGAATCATGGGGTGTTGCCACACCATGCCCACATACATATTAGCAAATTAGCGGAAGAAAAGGAGGAA